CTCCCCAGCCCCGTTAAACTTCTACATTCATTGACGATCTTCAATGAGAGTTTAATTCTCCCCACCCCCGTTAAACTTCTACATTCATGGACGATCTTCAATGAGGTTTTAATTCTCCCCAGCCCCGTTAAACTTCTACATTCATTGAAGATCTTCAATAAGGGTTTAATTCCTCCCAGCCCCGTTAAACTTCTACATTCATTGAAGATCTTCAATGAGGGTTTAATTCTCCCAGCCCCTTCAAACTTCTACATTCATCGAAGATCTTCAATGAGGGTTTTAATTCTCCCAGCCCCGTTAAACGACGATCTTCAATGAGGGTTTAATTCTCCCAGCCTCCTTCTATTCATCGAAGATCTTCAATGAGGGTTTAATTCTCCCAGCCCCGTTAAACTTCTACATTCATGGACGATCTTCAATGAGGTTTTAATTCTCCCCAGCCCCGTTAACTTCTACATTCATTGACGATCTTCAATGAGGTTTTAATTCTCCCCAGCCCCGTTAAACTTTACATTCATTGACGATCTTCAATGAGGGTTTAATTCTCCCCAGCCCCGTTAAACTTCTACATTCATGACGATCTTCAACGAGGGTTTAATTCTCCCAGCCCCGTTTAACTTCTACATTCATGGACGATCTTCAATGAGGGTTTAATTCTCCCCAGCCCCGTTTAACTTCTACATTCATTGACGATCTTCAATGAGGGTTTAATTCTCCCAGCCCCGTTAAACTTCTACATTCATCGAAGATCTTCAATGAGGGTTTAATTCTCCCAGCCCCGTTAAACTTCTACATTCATTGAAGATCTTCAATGAGGGTTTAATTCTCCCAGCCCCTTCAAACTTCTACATTCATCGAAGATCTTCAATGAGGGTTTAATTCTCCCAGCCCCGTTAAACTTCTACATTCATTGACGATCTTCAATGAGGGTTTAATTCTCCCAGCCCCGTTAAACTTCTACATTCATCGAAGATCTTCAATGAGGGTTTAATTCTCCCAGCTTCGTTAAACTTCTACATTCATGGACGATCTTCAATGAGGGTTTAATTCTCCCAGCCCCGTTAAACTTCTACATTCATCGAAGATCTTCAATGAGGGTTTAATTCTCCCAGCCCCGTTAAACTTCTACATTCATGGACGATCTTCAATGAGGGTTTAATTCTCCCCAGCCCCGTTAAACTTCTACTTTCTTTGACGATCTTAAAAAAGGGTTTAATTCTCCCCAGCCCCGTTAAACTTCTACATTCATGGCCGATCTTAAATGAGGGTTTAATTCTTCCCAGCCCCGTTTAACTTCTACATTCATGGACGATCTTCAATGAGGGTTTAATTCTCCCAGCCCCGTTAAACTTCTACACTCATTGACGATCTTCAATGAGGGTTTAATTCTCCCAGCCCCGTTAAACTTCTATATTCATCGAAGATCTTCAATGAGGGTTTAATTCTCCCAGCCCCATTAAACTTCTACATTCACTGACGATCTTCAATGAGGGTTTAATTCTCCCAGCCCCGTTAAACTTCTACATTCATGGACGATCTTCAATAAGGGTTTAATTCTTTCAGCCCCGTTATATATAAACTTTACATTCATTGACGATCTTCAATGGGGGTTTCCGTGTCGCGCCGCGACGCAACGCCGTGTGCACTCTTGCAGAAGGAAGCGTCGCAGCGCCAACAGCGTCGCGGCGTCGCTCCCGCGTCGCAGCGTCGCAGCGCCAACAGCGTCGCAGCGTCGCTCCCGCGTCGCAGCGTCGCAGCGTCGCAGCGTCGCAGCGCCAACAGCGTCGCAGCGTCGCTCCCGCGACGCAGCGTCGCAGCGTCGCAGCGCCAACAGCGTCGCAGCGTCACTCCAGCGTCGCAGCGTCGCAGCGTCGCAGCGCCAACAGCGTCGCAGCGTCACTCCAGCGTCGCAGCGTCGCAGCGTCGCAGCGCCAACAGCGTCGCAGCGTCACTGGCCCAACGGCAGTGTCGCAGCGTCGCAGCGTCGCAGCGCCACCCGCCCCCCGGAGCGTCGCAGCGTCGCAGCGTCGTAGCGCCACCCGCCCCCGGGAGCGTCACAGCGCAACGTCGGAAACCCACGCTTCGGCCCCCTTTGCCCCTGCACTGTTTTTTTTTGCTCGGCCATTTGACCTGAGAGTACCACAGAACAGCTTCCCCTGGTCCATGAACCTACTGCAAGGCCCCACATGATGGCCTTTTCTCCTACAAGTACACGCAAGTTGAGCATGTGGCTCAGATGGGCCAAAGGTGTCCGCACGTTTTCCGCGCCTTTGCAAGTTTGTTCAATGGTTGACACTTATAGATTATATAGTATATATATATAGATTATTATGATAGACTTTACAATATGAAACAATATGTTGTTGGATACTTTGTCAATGCGAAGCTCCCAAGGCCGGACCTGCCAGGAGTTAAGGCTACGACCTGGTGGAGATTACTGTTGCAAAACAAACATGGCTGATAAGTGGCGATTCTTAGATGCCGCACTTAAATGCACTCAAGCATTCCCATTTGTTTGAATTATTTTCAATATTTTTCAGTTAAGTTATCTTCCATGTTCGCCTTCGTGCAGACGCACAAACTGGCCGGCCTTGGAACCATAGTCTGGCAGATAAGAGAGCTGGAGTCTGGGCCTCAGCGAAAAAAACTCAGCGGGCGGCCTCTGGTGGCCCTGCGCAAAGTGTTCCAAGGCAGGCCATGGATGCGGCAGAGGCGCTGCACAAATGGATGAGATTCAAATAGTGATGCCGCCGCTGTGCCTAAACCGCATTATGTTTACCTATGTCAATTCGGTCAAACAGTCAAAGTTGTTGATCGTGTGGGCATCACACATCGCTAGAGCCCCAAAAGGGGCATTCTAGCCGGCGAGCGAATATGCTTGCTGGCTGGAAGTTTCACCTGTCACTGTAGCAATTTAGCGAAGCCAACGGTCCACAGGTTTTGGCAAAAAGTGTGACGAATAACACAACCAGCACACACAGATACTCACACACACACACACACACGCACACACACACACATCGACCCACATCACATCACATCACACATCACACATCACACATCACACATCACACATCACATCACATGTCATTTGAAGCCCTGGCAAAATTTGTAGTTTCAGGATGTTTCAGGGAGGAATTCACCGAGCTTGCGTCAACTGGATGAATGTCAAGACGTTTTGTTTTGCCAGTGGTTATGTGTTACTTCATGAATTCCCTAGCAGACTCGTTGCAGTTTCGCAGCAATTTTAGCCACTCGAGCTGGTGATTAACGCACCATTTCACACCTGCTGTCTTACCTTGTAGACCTGCTGTTTCCAAGCTGGTGAAGAACAGACCCTCCAAGGAGCTCTGAAAAGAGCGTAAACCCTGGCCTGATTTCCTGTGTGTTTTGTACTTACAGCTGCAAGCAATGTTCAGGTGTTCGGGAAGAGCAACATAGACATACTAAAACTATAGTTTTGGCGCGCTTGCATAGGTTTGAAATTTGTAACTGTTTCTTGACCCTACAATTCAACCTGCTTGCCCAGAGTTGCAGTGATACCCCCACCTTTAACAAGCTGCTGATGCTGACAACGTTTGTGGTGTGGAGCTGTGCTATCATGTTGACTGCTGACAATTCTTGAGATTACTGACTGTGAGCTTCTGCTATGGATTCTTTGACCATCTTCAAGCTACTTGTGACTTCGCCAATAATCCCCAGCGCCAGGATTGGGCTACATGTTGGCGACCTTTACGTTGTGGGCCATCCGGTCCATTCAGGTGAGCCACGACCATCTGCAGTGGAAGGAGATCCTCCTGAAGTGTTTTGAACGGATTTTGAAGTGAACCGATAACTGCAGATTTCAAGGGTTTGATCGATGTAAAGTCGTTTATTTTTATTCTAAAATCTGCCTGTTTCCCTGACCTTGCACCCGGCCCTCGTCAGACCTTGGCCCTGCTCAGGTGCTTGTCGAAATGCCTTCAATAGGAAGGGTCTACATCTTAACTCGGTGGTTTCTCGAAGTGAAGAGTCACAGCTGTAGCTCAGACTTGAATGAATTGAGCCTAGGTTTGCGTATGGATGTAATTCGTGTGGCACGTGATCCCTTTCCTAGCCGTCAACCATGTCAGCCTATGGGCAGTTTCCAAACTTCCTGTTGGGCTCCGAGTATGCTTTGCAAGTTTGTACATGCGTCGAATTGGTGAAGCTGGTGTGCGGCCCTGGTAGAACAGGTTTCAAACATGTTCAAACTCAAACTTGCTTTTTTAACTGATTGCACAAGCTTTCAAGCTGTGACATTGACGAATCTGGCGTGTTCACAGGTGTTTGACATCGACTTAAGCAGCGACATGTTGTTTTTTTGGGAGAAAAGTCTGGTCATTAGACAGGGGCCTTTGCTTAATTTTGCTCAGTAAATCGCATCCAGGCCAATTAGCAGGCCGTATTTTACACGTCTCTGGATAGATATTCCACAGTACATCAACAGCAGGGTGGTTCATCATGGCCGCTCTAGAGTTTCGTATCTCTGTTCAACATTACTCCTGGAATCCCCTCGATTTGCGGTGTGTTTCATTATGTTTCACTCTCCAAGCAGTGAGGCGCTCAAGATTTTCCTGCGCCTCAAGATGCATTTAACTTCTATGTCGGTGAGGTGTGGCTGACTTGATGCCACCCTCATGATACTCGTGATTCAATGCGAAAGGTGGTAATTGAAGATGCGGAGCCTCCAAAGCTGTTGCCCTCCCGTCCCGTGTTTCTAGCTGCTTCGGGTGGCATTGCAATGACAGTGTGCATGTACACTTCGTGCTTGGTGCTGCTCAAGAGTGTTGTGCATTGTTGTGCATTTCTTTCTCTTCCTTCTGCATCACTTCATGAGATGAGACGTACTACTCAAACGTACTACTCGCGACAAGATGAGACTTCGAAGTTTCAGCCAAGAGAGCCTGATGCTGTTTTGCGTACTTGTTGGAAAAATATTTTGCGCTGCCTGTTGGCTTTGCACTGGCTCGAGCTCGCTCTCCATCTTGCCCTGCCTTACACTTCCCGCGTCAACACGCTCCTTGATTCATTGTCTTCAAGCATGGCCCTTCCAATGAAGAAGTCCGTAATGAAGTCTGCCATGAAGTCAATGAAGAAGGCGGCAAAGCCAACGTCGATGAAGAAGACTGTGATGAAGAAGAAGGCAGTCAGCAAGATTGCGCGGGGCAAGCGAGCAAAGGCTGCAGTCTTCCTTGGCAGGAAGGAGAAGACTGCATCAGGGCATTCTCGATCTGACCTGATGAAGACCAAGCATGGCCGCATTGTGACCAAAGCAAAGCATGCTCAGGGCAAGAAGGCCTACGCCTACATCTCTGCCTGGACTGAGGCCCTGCAGAAGGCCAGGAAGGAGTTGGGCATCAAAGGCTTCTGCGCAGTTAACGGGAAAACTGCTCAGGGCAAGGCCCTTTATGCCAAGACGAAGGCAATCTTCTCTGCCTGAGCAGTATCATGATGCGCCCTGATTGGGGTTGGTGCAGGCATGCTTACGTGGTAGTTCACGGAGTCTTCCTGCCATCGGACATTTAGAAATCATCTCAGCATGTATAGCCAATCCGCTGAGACAGATGCTAGGTCAAAGGTGACAGAAAAGAACAGTTCGCGTCGGTTCACCCTATGTTTGTGGTCCTTTGCGCAGAGATGGCCGGCCATTTTGGATGGTTTGGTGAGCTTGGATTCTGTGGATCATCGTGACAGGAAGTAGCACAGAGGACCTCTTGACCAGCAGTGCCAGCCTAAGTAATTACCTCATGCAACCCCACTATTGGGCCACTGGTTTCCAAGAGATTCCTGCACTACTGTAGTACAAGGTTACCAAAGGACATGATACTGGTGGAAATGTATTGACCCCCAGGTCATGGAATGTCAAATGATCGGAACGTGCAAACCACTTTTCCTCAGCTGGCTGCGAACCGGTCCATATCGTCGAAGGTTGCAGAGTACTCTATCAAAAGATATCTACAGTAGCTCTTCTCACTATTAAATCTGAAATGCCAAACCAGGCACTTCTAGTACTTGCAGATAGATATTATTCGCCCTTCTTCATCATTGAAATCCATGAACTTTTCACACCATGGACAATGTAGAATTCTTGAAGATGTCAGTTTCACGATGTTTCATAGACAGCTGTCGTGGTTTGAAGTTGAACCATTCAGAGGTGCCTTGGCGATAGCTGCCTTGGCGGGTGAGGCGCTGGCCCAGGGCCGCCAGGTTGGTAACTCAGTTGATTAAATCGCGCAGCAGTAAGAATCCAAGACTTGAAAATGTCTTGAAGGAGAAGTTTTCTTGTCTCGTTTTGGTGTGGTTTAGTCGCAATATAATATGCAGCAGAGCACAAGTGCACCCAACAACATCGAAATGCTCCATGGCAGGATTTCTGTTTGCGACGCTGATGGAGGTGCTGACCTCGAACTTCTGTTGGCCCCGCGATCTGTAAGTCAAGTCCAATGGAGATGATTTGATACGATTTCTATTGAGCACTGAAAGGCTTCATTTCAACAGGTGACCTAGTGAAGAACAGACCCTCCAAGGAGCTTGGAATGAAGCCGTTTGTTGGTTTGAGAAGCGTGCCAAGAGGAGCGGACACAGGTGCTTTTGAAACAAGATGTATGAACGCGTGTTGAGTGGTGCTGCTTTTCGTAGCACGGATTTGATAGAGGCAATGTGGTACAGTAGCCTCTTGGCGTTGGAACCACATGCCATGCTGAGCCCAATGCCCTACAGAGCCTGAACGAGGCCGCTGTGGACAACTTGGAGCGAGGGGCCAGGGGAACTGCCAAGTGGTTTTGGACCAGAATGAGAAAGAATTGCCGGCATTTCCAATTGGAAGCAACTGCAATGCTCAGCAAAGCGCTGCTCCAATTCCAGCCATGGCAGGCTCATATCAATGGGAGCTCAGTATCAGTTGAGCTTGCATTGGCATGAGTCTTGCAACGGCTGGGATGCAGGGGGGCGTTGTTCAGGCTTTCTTTTTTGGCATGTTTCGGATTGGCCGGTGTGTCGCCAATGGTCTTGAAAAAGATGCGATGCATGCTTTGAGGCAGTGTGAGGCCAAGTGCGTAGGATGTATGTTCGCATCTCAACCGCTGTGTAGTTTGGATTGGGGAACATTGGAACAGACCGAATAGCATCATGATCATCATGTTGAGTTCATGGTGGGAATCCTGGCCAAAGTGGCGAGGTTAGGTCATGCTTTCGACATGTGTCACGTTCATCGCCCGGAGCTTCGGCTCAGTTTCCGCACCATGTCAGCCTTGGGAGGTGCCTTGGGGTGCAGGACGAAGTATTGGAATTTGCTCGAACTGTGGTTGTCATCCAGTTGTCTCCCCTTGGCAATTGCACGCGTGTAGAACAAGAATTGTCCATAGTTGGATCTTCTCGTGTGGCAGAAGGGAGACATTTTTGCGCAGCATTTCCGAACACAATCGCGCTGGCTCCTCAAAACGCCACCTGTGCAGTTAGATAGTCCTGAGGCTACCTTTGTGCAGCAGTATCCGTGCTCTTCTTCGGAAGCAATTTTGCAGCTCTTGGGCTTGCATGGCTTGCCTCCATTCTGTCCATATTTGTCGTCTATTATGTATCATGTCAATATCATTAATTAAGAGCAAACCATACTTGTACTTAATTGGCTGTAAAAGGTACCCAGTACTGGTGCCCGCAGATTAGAAAATGCTCTTTACATCTCTTTACGATCTTTGCGATTGATGTGTTATTCCATTTTGGCACATGGCCACTCCCAAGGTAGTGGCTAAATATGATGCTGGAGATGGCATGCTTTTTCAACTTGTGTCTCTTTGTCTGCAAAGGCGCAAGAAATAGGAAGTGATACTTCAGAAGGAAGTTCTCTCCACTTGTCCACAAGATACTGATAGTTACTGATCTTCGACAGGTGAAGAGTAGACTGACTCTAGCAGAAGGTAACAGAACTGTTCTGTGATCTCTCATGGTGCGCATCATATTTCGGGGCCAGGATCCTGTGCATCACGTGATCAATATTCATAATTATTGATACATCATGACACATCATGATACATCATATACATCATGATACATCATATTATCATATCATATATTCACATTATCAGTTTTGAAGATGGCCTTGAACACTACACGGAAGTGCGCTTGGACCATTTTGGATCCGTGGGACCAAAGGGCTGTATGCTCAGGTTGTGTTTGGGCATTTGGTTCACAGGCCTATGCGTGATGGTGCCCAGGAATCCAGCTTTCTATCCAATCGTTGCTTGTTGGCATAGCAGAACTATGGAGAACTCATTGTTGTCATGATTTGGGATACCATCAAAACAGCAATGGTGGCTTCAGTGCAACGATTGGCATCGAATGTCTTTTCCCCAGTTTGTGCAGCAGATGCATGTGACGATATGACAATATGTGACACGTGCGTGTGTATCTTTCAGGGCCACTTTGGCGGTTGATTTGAACAGATACCCTCTGGTAATTTAACATAGCTATGGAAAATCACCATTTTTAATGGGTAAATCCACTATAAATGGTGATTTTCCATAGTTATGTTAAATTACCAGAGGGTATCCACAGCAGATGTCACTTTCCAGAATTTTTGTGCCGAGGCAATGATTGGAGGAGTGATTTGGTGCTCAGGCAACTGCCTCACCGTGTACATCATCCGACAGATCGGCCTTGGACCAGGACAGTATGTCATCAAGTGTCATCATGAAAGTCATGAAAGTCACCACCTAGGGTTTTTTCATGTTTTTTTCAATAGCATTGATATCTATGTAGCGATGGTCACTGATGCAGATTTTCGGACCTTGATCGGCATGTTCAGACAGGAGTGAACGTATCATATTGATTTATATTGAGCACTGATTTGGCATCGATTGCCCTTGAGGTCAGGGCTTTGGTTGGCTTCCATTTTCTTCTGCAAACGAGATTTCCAATGGCCATGGATGACTATGATTGGAAGTCCACGCAGAGCGGAAACTGGAACAACTTTCCCAAGCTTCATACTTCAAAACATACATTTCTACTTGTATCATGTCGTAGCAGCAGGGCTTTGACATGGTACTACAGGTTCGTAGTTGGATAAGTCGAACTCTTCTTATGGCACCGTTTTCACAAGGACTGGTGACATGGGGCACCACTGCGCTGATCATCGGATGGGTGACGGGTTTTTTTGGCCTGTTTGGGCTGCAAAGTGACACTTGGATGAAACATGATGAAACTTCATTTATTATGTATATTTATGTCACCTGTCCAGAGCACGGATCTCAGAGGCCTGTGGATGAAATGAAATTTGAAATACATCATGAAGTCCATATAAGATCATATAAGTGTAGGATAGATTAGTATGTTAGTATTTTATATTATTATAGACTATATTTATATAATTATCATTGATTATCATATCTATACTGCACGATTCTAGATTGAGGTCGTACAACCAAAGCGTTGAGTCTCATGCCGGACGTACCAAGGATCAACCGTGCCTTGAGAAGCCATGGCTTAATGTAGTAGGCGCCACCTCTTTGATCCCTAAATCCATTGGATACTCATGATATTCCCAGGTAAAATAACCAGTTGGGTATACATCCAGATGAAGACAAGACGTGATTTCGGATTTCGGACGCAAAAGGGTTTTCATGCAGTTTTACAAGCACCCTCCAGCACATGATGTGCCCCGCCCTGCAGGCCTTGGGTTTGCACTTTTGGCCTTGGCAGGCAGCACCCTAATTAGGAGCCACTTCAGGGGCTTCAATTAGATCTTTTAAGTCCTTATGTCCTTCAAACACATTCAAAGAATATCAAGGAATAAACTGATCCAAGATGATCTAGGAGCCTTTTCCTAGTTTTCAAACATCGTGCATTACTACACATGCAAACACCATTTGGTTCAACGCGGAATCCAAATGAATCGAGCACCTGGGCGCAGCTGAGTTGCAGGAAAACAGAGCCCCTGAAGCCTCCTTTGCTGGTGGGTCCTGGCGGCGAGCCTGAGGACTTCGGCCTTGAAGCATTTCCAAAGCATTTCCAAAATATTTCGAAAGCACAAAAGAGTTTCTGCCAACGGAGGTTGAACGTTCTCTGCAATATGTTTTTCTTAATGTTTGTTGGATTTTGTTGGCGGTTCAGAGGTGCCTGGCAGTCAGAGAAGTTAGAGAGCGCTTTCGCGAGGATATGCCCACTTCAGATTCTTTTCTTGAGCGGCCCACAGCCGCCAAGGGGCGAGCCAAGGCCAAGGACATTCAGCACAGATCCGATTCGCAATTTCTGTAGGGCTGAAGTCAAATTCTTCGAACGTCTGACCCTGGCTTGAAGTTTCGGTTCAGATTGTTTCCCTAGACAAGGAATGAAGAAAGACGTCGTAACATAGACACGAGGAGGTGCTCATCTTGTATACGGGACGTATGGTCTTCACTGGTCTTCCATTCTCACATTTCCTTCCCGTTATTTGAGATTTCAAACGGTTCTGAGATGTGTTTGTTCTTTTGAAGAGCATCGTAGCAGCAATCCATCAATCGTTTTATGGCGAGCTGTGCCATCCACTGCCATCCACATCACCCACGGTGTCTCGTGCAGGGGATTCTGGCAAGTTTGATTGCTGGAACCTGTGGCTCAGCAGCAGTGATCTTCGCTTCCTGTGTAAACAAATCTGTTGCACCTAGCTGGGGGAGATGATTCCCTTCATAACCCTTGATAATCGTATCCCCAGGCAGAGACACTCATTTAAGACTTTAAGAGTATTGAAGAGTCTGATACCTTGTTTTTCCATGTTTGTCCTGCAGGCTATGGCTTGAATTTTCTGCCATCCACTTGGATACAGCAGCACGTGAAGGGGGCTTCGCAAGATGGCTTAGACTACGTATGGAGCCGAGCGCAAGGCACTGCATATCTTCCAAAACTAGACCCAGAGAGAGCTCCAATGCATTCCAAATTGCCTTTTTGTTTGACCTGCATTTCCTGCTTGTCTTGGTGCTCTTGTGATCGGTGTGTTCTTGGCTAAGGTCTTCAATCAGTCCAGAACTGAGAGCCTAAACTTCCTAGACAATCTATGTCCATGTGAAAGGATGTCAAAGGGTAGATAGATGTCTGAATTTCAGACCTTCAAATACCTGTTTCTGGGAGAGGGTTTCACTTGTAGTGAAGCTGCCTGAACTTATGGCAAGGGGTGTTCCGTCGCAGCTTCGCATCGCCGGCATCGCCCCAAGGTTTTGCGGGATCTTAGCTGCTTCGATGCTGCGCTGAAGCCGCAAATACTGGGTATGAAGGTTTTGGGAAGAGATGCCTCAAGTAGCTGCAAGACACAACCCGAAAAATATTTCTTCCATGAGGCATTTTTGCAGTTTCCAGCACCAGCAAGAGGTGATTTGTGAAAGTCTCAGCTATCCAAGGTACTTTCTGATCTATTGCGCATGGAAAGGAAACAAGCCTCAAGTGAACCCGGAGATCATGCTGCCGGGATTCGTCTCAGGAGCTTTCCAAGATTTTACTAATTTTTACTCAAATCGTACAGCTGGCTTTGCTCCTGTACTCGTTACATAGTTGCTCCAGGCCCCAAGAAAGTGGCATTTGAATTGCAACGCAGCTGTAGGAGTGATGTGGGCCATTGCGCAATCATGCTGGTTTGTCGCCAATGCTACTTGATTGCACCAACAGCTCCCGATTTGCGGCCTTTCAGATCGTTTCGCCCATCATGAGGTCCAGTTGGGATACTCCGCTGCGTTTCCAATTATTTTGATTGGACCTGGATTGATTGGATCGCTGTGGTCCGTCTTCTTGTTCAAGGCGAGACCAGGGGGTTGTCAACACAGGATCAGTCAGGTCCTTGCTGGAGTTGGAGTTTTGGGGTTGGTTCGATTGGCCCTGCACTGTGCAGGATATTCGTGGTCAAAGGAAACTTGTTTGCACAGTTTGCACATTTCATATTTCCCAAGTGTTGCTTTGGGGCAGCATCTCCAGAGTAAACAGATCTGGTCCTAGCACTGGTGAGGCACTCGTTTGTTCAAAGGTCAGTTTCTACATTTTTCATTGAAAACCAAAAGTGATTGAAGCAGTCAATCTCAACTTCTCAACTATGATTTTTTTCGCGCTTGCAACTCAACGACTTTCCGTCCTCAGGAATTACTTGCTTCTGCTGATCTATTTTGTGCTAGCGGCGATCTCCTGTGGATGTATTGTTGCTTCCAGAAAGGGTACTGGCACGTAGCCCTGCACTGTCCTTGGTACAGCCAATTGTTCTGCTGAACCTGTGCTGTTATTTGTGTCAAGTGTAACATATGCAGCAAGCCACTCAGAAGGCTGCGCTCCATACAGTGCAAGCATGATTTGACAAGATTTCCTTGTAACGGCGGGTGGTCACCCAACAGGATAAACATGAGGCTGTTTTGTGTTCTGCCCAAACTTGAGAAACTCTACCAACAGATGGTGCCATGATGCCACTGCCATCCACCCAAAAATGGCATGCTGAAAGCATGCCTAAAGATTGGATTTGCTTTCATTTGTACAAAGCCTGTCCATAATAACTTTTTGCGGAGATTGCAAATACAGCGCGTGCCGCGCTGAGAGTGCAAACAAATTCCTAGCTCAACATCTACCCATGCAGAAGATTTCACTGGAATCACCACCGCAAGTTCACCGCGGTCTTCCCAGCAAGATCAAACAATCAACTGAGTACAATAGCCATTTGATTAGCCCATTATTTCTACAGGACTAGAAAATATTCTGAAATCAAATTCCATTTGCGTTTACAAACTGGACGTAATCACAGTTGTTTGTGTCGTTCTGAAAATTACTAAATATTAGGGATGGGTCAAAATCTAGTATTGCCATATTTAATAAGCATCCATTAACAAACCAAAATATGTCAGGATATTTTCACAGGAAGTTTCATGGAGGAAACTCCGAGTTACGGACTTTCACATTCTCACTAGCCCAAAGATCATTGTGTCCAGTTGGCATGTGCCTTAAGAGATCATGAAGTCACATTCTCACTAGCCCAAAGATCATTGTGTCCAGTTGGCATGTGCCTTAAGAGATCATAAAGTCACATTCTCATTGGCACAGAGATCATTGTGTCCAGTTGGCATGTGCCTTAAGAGATCATGAAGTCACATTCTCACCAGCCCAAAGATCATTGTGTCCAGTTGGCATGTGCCTTAAGAGATCATAAAGTCACATTCTCATTAGCACAGAGATCATTGTGTCCAGTTGGCATGTGCCTTAAGAGATCATGAAGTCACATTCTCACTAGCTCAAAGATCATTGTGTCCAGTTGGCATGTGCCTTAAGAGATCATAAAGTCACATTCTCATTAGCACAGAGATCATATGAGATCATTGTGTCCAGTTGGCATGTGCCTTAAGAGATCATGAAGTCACATTCTCACTAGCCCAAAGATCATTGTGTCCAGTTGGCATGTGCCTTAAGAGATCATGAAGTCACATTCTCACTAGCCCAAAGATCATTGTGTCCAGTTGGCATGTGCCTTAAGAGATCATAAAGTCACATTCTCATTAGCACAGAGATCATAGTGTCCAGTTGGCATGTGCCTTAAGAGATCATGAAGTCACATTCACTAGCCCAAAGATCATTGTGTCCAGTTGGCATGTGCCTTAAGAGATCATGAAGTCACATTCTCACTAGCTCAAAGATCATTGTGTCCAGTTGGCATGTGCCTTAAGAGATCATAAAGTCACATTCTCATTAGCACAGAGATCATTGTGTCCAGTTGGCATGTGCCTTAAGAGATCATAAAGCCACATTCTCATTAGCACAGAGATCATTGTGTCCAGTTGGCATGTGCCACAAGAGATCATGAAGTCACATTCACTAGCCCAAAGATCATTGTGTCCAGTTGGCATGTGCCTTAAGAGATCATGAAGTCACATTCACTAGCCCAAAGATCATTGTGTCCAGTTGGCATGTGCCTTAAGAGATCATGAAGTCACATTCTCACTAGCCCAAAGATCATTGTGTCCAGTTGGCATGTGCCTTAAGAGATCATGAAGTCACATTCCCACTAGCCCAAAGATCATTGTGTCCAGTTGGCATGTGCCTTAAGAGATCATAAAGTCCCATTCTCATTAGCACAGAGATCATATGAGATCATTGTGTCCAGTTGGCATGTGCCTTAAGAGATCATGAAGTCACATTCTCACTAGCCCAAAGATCATTGTGTCCAGTTGGCATGTGCCTTAAGAGATCATAACGTCACATTCTCATTAGCACAGAGATCATTGTGTCCAGTTGGCATGTGCCTTAAGAGATCATAAAGCCACATTCTCATTAGCACAGAGATCATTGTGTCCAGTTGGCATGTGCCTTAAGAGATCATGAAGTCACATTCTCACTAGCCCAAAGATCATTGTGTCCAGTTGGCATGTGCCTTAAGAGATCATAAAGTCACATTCTCATTAGCACAGAGATTCATTGTGTCCAGTTGGCATGTGCCTTAAGAGATCATAAAGCCACATTCTCATTAGCACAGAGATCATTGTGTCCAGTTGGTATGTGCCACAAGAGATCATGAAGTCACATTCACTAGCCCAGAGATCATTGTGTCCAGTTGGCATGTGCCACAAGAGATCATGAAGTCACATTCACTAGCCCAAAGATCATTGTGTCCAGTTGGCATGTGCCTTAAGAGATCATGAAGTCACATTCTCACTAGCCCAAAGATCATTGTGTCCAGTTGGCATGTGCCTCAAGAGATCATGAAGTCACATTCTCATTAGCACAGAGATCATTGTGTCCAGTCGACACCCTGCGTAGAGGTAGAGTAGAGGTAGACTAGAGAAGATGGTAGAGTAGAGAAGAGGTAGAGTAGAGGAGAGTAGAGTAGAGCTGCATAGAAGCGGAGTAGGGGTATAGGTAGAGGTAGCGGTAGAGTAGAAGTTGGGTATAGGTTGAGTAGAGTAGAGTTGAGAAAAGTAGAGTAGGAAAGAGACGCGTAGAGCAGAGAAATTACAATTCTGATTTTGTCTTGCAAGTCATTGTTGGCAGATCGCAGTGGAACTGCTATGTTAGGATTTGCATGTTTTTTCGGGTAAACGGAGGTTCCGTTGCGGAGAAAAGCTGGCTCTCGCACGCAACGGTTCCGGGCGTCGCTGCTTTGCCGTGGAATCTTGCAACCACTGCGCGGGCAGTGGTTGCAGGTGACTTTTTTCTCTTCTTTGTTGATGCTGTGCTATTGTGTTTTGCATGTGTTGAGACACTTTGTGCATTGGAACTGGTGCATCGAAGCGATGTGTTGTAGCGTGTTGCAATTCTATTGCGTTGTGCAATTAAGTCTGTGCAGATCGCAGTGGAATGGCTGCGCCCAGGCTTGTCGAAGGGTACTTGTTCTCCAGTCTTGCGATTCTGATTGTCTTTTGCGAGTCATTCTTGGCGGATCGCATTGGAAGTGCTACATCGTGGATGCGATTTGATTGTTAGGATTTGCACGAAACATTGTGTTTTTTCGGGTAAAGGGAGGTTCCGTTGCGGAGGAAAGTTGGCTCTCGCACGCAACGGTTCCGGGCGTCGCTGCTTTGCCGTGGAATCTTGCAACCACTGCGCGGGCAGTGGTTGCATGTGACTTTTTTCTCTTCTTTGTTGATGCTGTCCTGTTGTGTTTTGCATGTGTTGAGACACTTTGTGCATTGGAACTGGTGCATCAAAGCGATGTGTTCTTCAGTAGTGTGTTGCAATTGTATTGTGTTGTGCAATTCAGTCTGTGCAGGTCGCAGTGGAATGGCTGCATCAAGGCTTCTCGAAGGGTACTTGTTCGAAAGGCAGGAAAAAGCAAAGAGATGGTGGAGGATCGGTGTGTGCAAGAAATGTATGTCGAAAGGTGCGTGAAAGAGTTCCGTGTAAAGTGTTGTTGGTGAAAGAAATTGTGTAAAGGCGTGGTGTGTAGAAGTGGTGTGTTGGGAAGAGTCGTGTGTGAAAGTGCTGTGGGTGAAAGAGCGGTATGGGACAGGAGTGGATGTAAAAGCGTTGCGTGTGCAAGTATTGCGTGGGAAAGAGTGTGTCAAAGAATTGCGTGTG